TGAGCTCAGTGCTGAGCTCTGGCTTGTATGCCAGTGCAGTGAGGAAAATAAATAAATAACTTTACAGCACCTAAGGCTGTTCACTGAAGGTCCTGAGAAGGATGCATGAACCCAGCTAAATTAAAGATTACATGCTCACAGGATGCAGTTTGTTTCCAGTTCATAAGGGTTTTTTTCCTTTGCATACCCATCCTAAGCCAATCTTTAAAACGTATTGTGGGTTTCGCATTGCTGTTATTTCACAGGTAAAGCCAGGATCAAGAGGTAAGTGTTTCACAGGGGATTTGGTGAGCAAGATATGTGATTTCTTCCCCAGTCCTCACCACAGGGCTGCCCCAGGGAGCTCCTGCCTGTGCTGAGACAGATGCAGCAGGGCCCGGCCAGAGGGAGCCAGGGAAAGGTAAGATGGAGCCCAAGGACAGTAACTTTCCTATTTAATTTTCAGTTTTGGTAAAAATTTCAAGCACTCCAAGCCATTGGGTGCCTCTCCCTTCAAATAGCACTGATGTTGAGGAAATGTCATGTAAATTTGCATAAACAACTTTTTTTTCCTGTAATTAACGAATTTTGCGACCTTGGGTACTCTGTACTGGCACCTTATTGACTACCTCAATATATACAGGTATAGGGCACTCTTCAGTTTGACCTGGAGTGAACCTTGAACCAATCTATTTCCCCGCAACAGCATCCACTAATAATTTTTTCTCATCTTTACAAAATCTAAAGCTGGCATCTCAACTACATTCAAGTCCGGGAAGCCTTTCCATTAACTTTTACAGGTCGGGATCCAAGACATACATTTTGTGAGGGAAGTAGGATGCTTAGCTCAGTGACAGATGATATTATGCACATATATTGAAACAAAAATTTGACAAAACTGTAAAAATAAGCCTTTAATGCCTACTAATTTAAAGTCAACGATTGGGAGCAAGCATTGCCATCCTTCTATGGGGCTGCCAGGGTCAGGAAGCAGAAATACCTTTTACCCAAAAGCATTTCCACCCACTGACTGACCTCTGCAGCTCTCTCTGTGAGGAGAAAAACCACACTCTGAAGGAACACGAATTTGCTCTCAAAACAAGGGTCAGATACCCCACGGTCTGAGCTGCCACAGCAGCATCAGGAAATTTCTGCCATCCCTGGTACGCCACCTGCCCCACGGCCGGGGAGAAACACAACCCTGCTCAGGCATGTCGGGGAACCTGCCTTCCCCGGCTGAGGTGAGAAATTTGCTTCTGCATCCCAGTAACTGCTTTTTCTTTTACTTAGCCTTCTCTACCATATGGGATGGATAACCTCTCCTACTTTTCCTCTCAACTGGCTGATGTGCAGTTGTACCTGGAGTACAGTTGTACCTATAAGGAGGAATATAGCCGATTTAAACACATGTGAGGGAGCACTGTATAACTCACATTTTTTCAGTAACTTTCCCCTACACCTCTTTCCTGGTACGGTTTTTAGAGAAACTGGTAAGCTTGCAATGCAGGAGAAGCTATATTTTGCCTGCTGTGTGCCATTCTAATATCAGGCATTGAAACATCTGTCCTGTAAAAGTTTTGAATTTCAAAACTGTTAAGAGGGGCCGTTTCCATTTCCACTGCTAAGTCTACTGTAGGTGAAGTCATGTTAAAGAAAAGGAGAATTTTTACATTTACATTAAAGGAATATAACTGTTAAAGATCAAAGTATGCCTGACCAATTTGATTGCTTTTGAGGGGAATTAGAAAATTAATGTGAAGAAAAGAGTATAAATGATGTATAAATTATTTGGTAGAGAATCTTAGAAGATATTGCTTGCATAATTGAATCAGACTGACAGGGAAACAAAGACTTGTCTGGATTTTTGAGAGACTCTTGCTGCTGGATAGCAAGCAAAAAGTAAATACTAAAGTAATTTATGCAATTGCAGGAAGTTGTTTAGTCAGGTGCAGCAGGGACCGTTGTTCGGACTTGTTTTACAAGCATTTAACATTTTCATTAATAATGTGGAAGAGAGGCTTCACAGCAGCTCATAGAATTAAATGAGCAGATAATTCTAATTTGAGAGGAGTCACAAGCATCAATGAGGACTGAGACACAATGCAACAGGACCAAAAGGACAGAAAAATGAATATGAAAGAAATAGTGAGATTCAAACTTGGAAAAGTGCAATTAGAGGTATGTTAATAAAGTTTGTCCTGTTCAGGAGAAGTGTAGGTGAGAAATAACCAAAGCAATAACACTGAAAGAGTAAGCGATGAATTGGATATTGGTTGGCAAAATAAGCAGAAGCCACAAAGACTGCTTTGATTGTGGCCTGCCTGTGGAGAAATCACCACGTCTTGGAAAGTCTTGCAGCAACTTTTAGGAGCTCAGAGGTGGAAAGAATTTCAAGTATCCATTAATAGGGAAAAAATTAAGAGGGATACATTCAGTCAAGACCAGGTAAGTGGCAAGTGAGATGGTACTTGAAAAAATTTGACTGTTGAACTCAACTATTCAACTATTTGAACGTCAGGGGAAAACAAAAACTGGAGATCTCTCACATCATGAGATCTGCTAGAAAGTCTCCAGTGAGGAAAAGAATTAGCATGACTTGGAATACTTAGAACAATGGCTCAGTTCATCACTAGATGAGATAGTATAAATAAATTTTTATCTAGGCATAAAGGACTGATGCAGTACAGCTTTTCCATCTCCTATATTCTCTACAGCTTTCACCTAACAGCTAAGGCAGGTAACTTCTACTTAACATGAGCTGAGCATGTTCCTAAATCTCACTGCAGTGAGTAGGACGCAAAGCTACAGTAAAATTGAAGTACATTGTAATATGAAATCAAGGCATATCAGCTGAGTTGTGAGTGTTCCTGTTTTGACTAAGACTGCAGTTTTACTGAACTTCCAACAACCCAATGCAGCGTTAAAAGGCTGCTTGTTTTTAAATACTGAAAATATTATACAGCTGTGCACTAATCTCAATATTTTATGGTACATTTCATCCATTTTTTTCAGTTATGTCAGTCGATCTATTATACTACTTTATCTCTCACTAACACCTTACCTTTCGGCTGCAGGTGTCTTAAACGGCATAGAGCAGAATTTAGGTAAAATCCTTTAGGAGGATTGGTGCCCAGTTCCAACTTCCAAAGGAAGAAGGATAAAGTTCAAGCCTGCTCTAAAGCTCAATAAATCAAAATATCCCACTGACTTCTGTGGGATCCTTTGGCCCATAAGTATCCCACACGTATATTCTCGCTGTTGGGCTCACTTCTACAACCGAGTATAAACCTGAATTCACAGATTATCCAAACGGTCATATTTCTAGTTGCCTCCTCCACCCGTCTCTGGGAACCTTTTACTCTGGGTGCAGAGTGTGATAGGAAAACAGCTTTTAGGCCAGCTGCAGGTCTCTTTGACACAAGTACAGGCAATGACCCATGCGGAAACTCCAGTAACTAAAAGCTGTCAAAGGGGTAATAGCTGACTGTTTAAATTGTCTCTCTGCTGTTCCTGAGTACTATAAACCCTACTCCAGGACTGAGGCTTGAACAAGGCACATGTAAGTGATGTTCCCAGTTACCAGAGCAGAGAGGTAAGCTAAAGATGTTCCTTACTAACCCTCTGCACTACTACATTGTGGGTATAGGAGATCACTGGACAGCAGCCCAGGCCAAACATGCCCAGTAACCATACCTCACTGAACAGAGTGGCAGAAAAGTACAATTTTCTTCTATACAAGCCCAGCGTGCAGGTTGTTATACACTTTCCTGCACATGACCATACATGGGAACAAGCATACACCTAGATGCACCTTAGTTCTTATCGGACGCTAACTACTACACATACCCTTTTTGGAATACCCATGGAGCGCATCTGTAGCATCACCACCCCAGCCCATACATCTCCAGCCAGGGCCCTCAGATGATCTGAGCGCACACATGCATTTACGCTTCTTGACATCTTCTTTTTTTGCATGCATGGCAGCATGGCTAGGCCAGAGCTCTAGATTTGGTCTGTGACATGACATTAACTCATTTGTTAAGGTGCTGTTGAACAACATTTTTTTTCTTCTTCTTTCTTTTTAATTAAACCCAGTTAAAGAAGTGTTATCCTTTAATTATATTTTCAACCACAACTTAATCAACATTCATCACTTATTGAGGTGGGAAGTACCTAATTAGGATGCCAACTTTCTTTTGTGTTATTTCTTTACAACAGAAAGCACCACTTTCAGTTTGGGTTGGAGCAGTAGGACTACAACTATTAGGTGAACAGAAATCTTCCCTCGAGAATGATCTCTAACTGGCCTTTCCAACTCTCACATCTTACAGAGAGGTCTCGTTGGGACTTTTCAAGGAAGAAATCATAGTATAGATGACTGAGATGCTTCTCCAAGGCATTCAAGCCATTGAGCAGGGCTCTATGTCTATGTTCACCTCAACCATGTTTGCGTATCTACGGAGGTCGGGGAACTTTGAATGTACATCTACGCACCAGAAGGGGGGAGCTGGTGCTTTCTGACAATAAATACCTCAGAATGAGCTGCCATTGGGATTGCGGGTGTTGAAAAGAATACGGGAGGCTGGCTGAAGAGATCATTTATCCGTCCTAGTAATGAGCTCGTTTGAAACAAGTTCCCCACTACTAATTATCGCTTAGTTCTGATTGATTCATCACCTGCTTTGCTGCTCCCATTTCATAAACAGCACATGAAATGCTGAGTTTAAGAAATGGAATAATTTGCAGATTTTGGTAAAAAAAAAAGAAAAGAATCATGAAAAAACTCTGCTGGCTTGTGAATTGCGTCTATCCTATTTTAATTATTGCCAGATTGATTTTCTTTCCTTTAGTTCCTCTGTGTGTGTGGGTACACATAAATCTCTATGTGCATATATAATTACTGTACGGCAGCATATAGAATGCCTGTGTAATATTTTAATAAAGAGGACATTGTAATCTAATTTATATATACCCATTAAGAGCTGCAAATTGAACACCGGAGGAATACAAAGTGTCCTTACCTATTTCAGTCATAGATATCCCCGGGGCTAGTTGCCCATTGTTGAAAGAGCTATAGGTAAACAAGTTTGGTACAGAAGTGAGGTCATAGATAGGTTCCTGCTTTATCTGTTTGATTCCAGTCATGTCTAACCCAGACTGATCTGGGGAAGGCTGGGCAGAATCCACATTATAGTAACCTTCAGACTTCGGCAGGTCAATGACGTGCCCGTTGGAGTAAGTGCCGCCAGTTTCGTTGTTCAAGTTGCTCAAGCCATTGCTGATGCTGTTGCTGTAAACCCTAGCAAGGGCTTCAGCCTCTCCACTCTGCTGCTGCCGCTGCTCCTGCAGTCGCTGTTGGTGCTTCTGCACTTCAGCGTACAGGCTATCCCTCTGCTTTTTGGACATTCTTCCAAACTTCACAGCTGAAAGGCAAAACGCAATGCAAACCATTGTTCTCTCTCTCTTTTCCTTTTTTTTTTCTCCTCTAATTCCCTGCACCCCCATTGCTCTTCTGATATTTACTTTTAATATTGCTTTTGCTGCACAAATTTATGTTTTTCTGTGGAAATGAGAGAGGTTGCATAGCTTTACACCATATGCATCTCACAAATGGAAAGATATTGAGCACTTGGATTTACAAGGTGACAACAGTGACTCCTTTCTGGGAGGAGGGTCTTCAGTCAAGTAACTCAGTTCCAACTGTGAATGTTAAAAAGAGCTTGCATCTTTTCTCTTGTCTCTGTGTTCACTGAACAACAACCCAGAGCTATATGAATTGTACAGTCTTTAGATTCATATCCCATGTGATTTACCAACTTTCCACAAACCTTTAAACTGTGCACTAACAGGATTAGTACTCTGGATGAAAACAAGCCCTAAAGCCTTATTATTGTGTCCTTTCAATGGGGTGTTATTTTCACACTTTTTCTGTCTTTTTTTTTTTAACGTTACAGGATAGAGTTAGAACCTGGAGGAAAATAACAGACTTTAAGGTAAACAACACAAACGAATGTCATCTTTTCCACAGAGGCAAGAGTCAGGGATTTACACAATAAATTTACATAATTTCCACTCCCAAAATCCATGCACTCCCTCTGATGATGACAAAGGGAGGAAAACGTCAGAGTGCAAACCACTCTTCCCAGGAAAAGGTTTCATTGTAGCAACATTGAAATTTGCAAAAACAACAGGTTAACTACTACAGAACTATGAGGAATAACTCTACAGCCTGCATATATAGTGGGTCACACGTGATTATCTTTTTCTCTCCACTACACGTCTTTAAGTTCTGGCTTTCTAATGGACTAGATCTTAGTATCTCAGAGGACAGCTTATCATGCTCTAGAACAAGTGAGATGCTTCAGCCAAGGATACATCTAGCAGCCTTTATCAGAGCACAGATAATAGGACTTTGAAATTTAGTTACAAAATGAAGAGGAAACACTCTTTTTTTGTACTAGAAGGAGTATTTCCCAAGGCTAAGCCTTTCTGGTCAATTTGTAAATTGAGACCAATTCACAGTCATCAGAAATAGTAGCCCAAGGAGGGCTTGGTTCCCATTTTTGCTAGCCCATTGTTCACTTATAAAACCTCCAGAAGAATCCAAGCCCTACATATGGACGAATTTGAAACCCTTCTACCAGGGAAGAGAATAAAAAAAGGAAGAGAATAATATGAAAAGGCAGTGTAAAACCATCATGAAGAATGCCTCCCCTTTCAGTTTGTTTGCAGTGCTTCACTCTAAGAATTCGTTTCTCTTGCTGTCACCCTTAACTTACCGTCCCCTTCACACAGGCTGCAAGCTACCTCACGCAAACATATAGGCTGCCTCTGGAATCCGTCCTCAATGCATTTCACACTCATATGGACAGTATACAATAACTTTATTTTGAAAAATGCAATTGCATATTATCTTTAATTTTAGAGCCTCAGTAACAAAAACAAACACCCACTGTTTATTCTCATTATATATTCATTAATTGACTTCTCCAGCTGCTGTCAATTAGCATCTTGCCTCCACATGATAAACATGAATCTGTTATATGGCTGAGAGGTAAAATTCACATTCAATTTCTCTGTTAAAAAATCCATAAAGGCTATTTTAAACTTGCAAGAGCCCTCAATATTGTTAAGGATGAGCACCCTCACATAAACAATGGGAGGAGAAGGTGATGCTGTTGGAAGAATCACTATTTGTCTGCAGGTAGCAGTCCCTGAATTACAAGTTGGGAAGACAGTGCTGTCAGTCACATAAAAATGCCCCTGTGATACCTTAAATTCTTGTGAGACATTACTTTTAGGGAGAAAGCACATCATGCTGATCAATTACTGGACTTTTTCTGCTTTAATCTACTTTGGGCAGAAGCAGGAGCTAAGGCATCAAGTATGCTCCACAATAGGGCTAGAAGCAGTTTATGGATTAAAGGCTAGACTGCAAGACCCCTCCCACACTGAAGAAATCTAGCAAGGTGTTTCAATGAAATATAGGACATACTGAGGTGGGAAAAGACCTTTTAGAGGCCAAATGTAAAACAAGTTTATGAACTGCAAACTATCTAATGAAAAAATCTTCATAGTGCTTTATGCAACTTATCCCTTAATGAACATTAATGTCCAACGACACACTGTGTGTATACTTTTAAAGACAGAATGTCACTACTAGGAAATCCAAATTAATGTAACTTGCCTTCAAAAGCATGACTTTTTCTTCTGCTACTTACTGACAATTTAAACCCTTGCTCGGATCTGGAAACCACCTGCACTAGCAGGAGCGCTTGGTGCAGGTAGGGTGTGGATAGCTTTGCTCAAGCTTCGTATGGCACCTCTCAAGGTGCTCTGCAGATCAGGTCTGGTCCAGCTCACATTCACAGCCTGCTGGTCATGGCTGCTCACACCACAGGCCAGAAAGTGTGTCTGACCAAAGGGACTAAAGGGTTCTGCCATTTTCTACACCGTGGAGCTCTCCTCTGAAGTTTCACACGGTATAGTTTCTATTTTCAGTACTAAACTATGAAGCATAGACTTAGATAGGGGCAGATGGCAAAACATAGGCGAAAGAAACATCTCTCCTGTAATGCAAAATATTCAGCCAAGTGCTCTGAATAAAATAAATAAACAAAAAAACCTAATGCAGTCAAGACGTGCATTTGTTTTTAAACTGCCTATTTACTGTCACAGACCTTTGGAGATTTCAAGGAAAGGGATGCTTTCATACCTCGATATTTAATGTCATTAATATGAAAGGCTGTCTAAATTGCAATATGAGTCTGTCTCTTCAGAGATGACCCTTATGTGCTTTTGATCAGAACAACACAATTCACTTCTGACTGTTTCCTTTTCAAACTACTACTGCTCTCCATTTTGCTATTCTCTCTACCTCAGCCCACGAAATTCTGTTCCTCTTGTTAAATGAACGGCAAAGTGCTGCCTCACAGGGTGTGCATTGCTCCCTCTCCTCTCTCTCCTTCCAGAAATCTGGAGGGAGTGGTAGCCAGGCAGCAAGGAAGACGAGTTTCAAAGGATTGAGGTGTGGAGCAGGAATCTGGCTCCTTACCATCTCGAGACATTCCCAGGGCAAGACACTTCTGCAGCCGGCAGTGTTGGCAACGATTTCTGTTGGTTCTGTCAATTAAACAGTTTCTCTGCCTTGGGCAGGAGTAAGATGCATTGTTCTGCTGGCTCCGCCGAAAGAATCCCTAAGGACAAAGAGAGACAGAGACAGAGAGAAAGAGAGAGAGAGAGAGAGAGAATTACCATACACATGTATGTGCATACACACACACACGCACACACACACGCAGAACCATGTAAATGACCAGTAAACTCTTATTTAGTGCAATTTAATTTGCAGCTTTGCAGATACTCTAGCCTTGCACAGTGAAATTAAAGAACATTTACTGCTAGCAGGGGGATTTGTGTATTCTTCTGTAAAGAATATAATATTACTTCGTTAAAAGGCAGGCAATAGAGTTACAAAATGCATTCCTATCCTAGAAGAACCACCATGTATCATCTAATGCTTCCTCCTAGCAGAGGACAAACTCATCTGTGTTTGTAAACAGATGACTGAAGTACTGGTTCTGACTATTTTCTTTCTTCAGGGAACTGATAAAACCAAGCCTGGCTATGCACAGCATTAGAAGGTGAAGTCTGCTGCTTGGTTTAACATTTGCTGCCTGGCAAATGTTGATCTTATCTGGAGGGACACTCTAGGAGTGAAAAGTAATTCAAATTCAAGCATGCACAAAAGCACCAGGGTTTAATGACTGTCTCAAGTAAAGCTCACATGCAAAGGAGAAAGCAACACCTTTAGATACTACCATGAGAAAATAATGACATTTTCTACGTCAGTGGAATACATCATTATCCATTTTACCTATTTAAAATTTTATAGTTAGTTATTTTAGCTTCTACAAGGTTTTTCTGGCCAGTTGTTGGGCAATTTCACTAAAGATCAGAGGGCTGTTAACTCATACCTAAGGGCCTCATGAGCTCCTAACTGCTAAGAATGACACCAAGAGGCAGTGTTACGGTAGAAGTGAGGTGGCAGAGGTGACAAGAGGAATGAAATCAGGGGATGAGGATGACAGACAGAAACAGAGTTTTATTTGATATTCTTCTCTTTCCTGTAAAATAAAGCACTGGAGGAACAGCAAGTCCAGAGAGAGGCAGAGAGAAACAAAGAAAAGAAGTTCATTGGCAAACTTAGGCTTTTAGAAGCAAGTAACTGCACAGCTGTGCGGTAGGAAAGATGAAGGATAGACTAGCGCCTGCAGGAAGCCATGAAGAGAAAAAGGGTAGAAAGTGTCATTATTGCACAGTTACACTAGTCACCAGGAGCACTGACACCAGAGTGGTTGTGCCTCTCTTGGCTGGTTTATAAACTGCCCTGGATCAAATCTGAAAGCAAGAGCTGACTCCATTTAGCAGGTAAAAACTGTGTTATATCTCTTGAGAGATATTAATAATAAGACATGGAAGTTGCAAGAGCTGTGCATTTGGGGGAATGACCGTGGGGGAACTATTGGGCTACACTATAACAGGGCTCAACTCACTCACAAAAGGTAGCATGTGAAGGTTTACTCTACTCCTAATAAAGGACGCTCATGCTTGAGGACAGCGTGGGGTATCAACAGCAACAGATAGGACTAAAGACCCTGGCGTAGCTGATTCATGAAGTCAAGAGTAAAGAGACTCACTTCACCCACTCTGCACTGGGTTTATTAGTGATTATAATATATCTACAAATTAATTTAAGTTGCATTATATGCAGTTTTGGAAACATGGATATCCTTTGGGGGAACTATTAGGAAAAATCTGGTGGGGACCCATCTGATCCTGGTTGACCAAAACTCTTCTAAAGTTGTAGGGAGTGGTTTAACTTAAGGCTAAATGGATACTAATTGTAGGACATTTCTCACTTATTTGCTGAACTTTAGAGTCAATTTTTTTTTTCACATGAGTAGGATTTTCCAGTTTAGATTTTAGCAGCTCCTCTGTGAATAAGGATTTGAGAGAACAAATTAACTAAATGAAGTTAACCCTTCCCTCACGCAATAACACTCTAGCACTGACTATGTCTTATCCTGGAATATTATTTTTCCCCCATTAATGTTGATTTCGTCTTGCAAGAGCTTACTCGATCATTCTTTATCCCTCTTAGAAAAAATCAACAGTTCCATTAAAACATTAAACTACAACAGGAAATTTATTTTTCCAATGAGATTTTTGTACTCTTTTGCTCCCTCATAAGATCTAAATGTTTTATTACAAGGTAGAGAGTATCACTTTGTATCATGTTTAGGGTGTGTAGGGGATCTTTAAATAATAATGGCTATATTTACAGAGAATAATTCCCTTTGGGGAAGGAGGAGCCAATTCATTACTGAGGAGCAAGACTTAAAGATAGGTCTCCCAGTATTCCCAGCACTGACTAGTCTATCTGCATCTTGAACAATTCACTTTATCTGTCACTGTTAGCCAGTCTGAAAATGGAAATGGTCATGCATGTCTGAAGTACTACACAAAGCAGTGCTACCAAACATTTTGCTGTGTGGGGAGGCAGGAGGCTCCCAGCAAAAGCAGGCACCACCGAGACAGGTGGGGTGGAAGCCTGTCTTCAGGTTTCACCCTTTCAGTGCAGACAGTTGCAGAAGCACCGTTTTGCTCAAGGGGTCCAGCACATTACTTAGCACATCCAGGCACCACAGCAATGGTATTTGTGATGCCCCTTCAGGACTTATCATCGGCATTTGCAGTGGCATAGCTAACGCAGAGATGCGGTGTGAAAGGATTTCATGTCTCTTGAAGCCTGCAGCACTGCCATCAGCAGCGCAATGCTCAGACATTGGGTCCTGAAACCCCACAGCAGTGTGGCGAAGGGCTCAACATGCGTGCCTGTTTGTGGGGCCGATCTCTCCTCTTTCTTCCACGTGCACTCTCCCTCTTAATTAATTGAGATTTCTAATGCCTTCAGATAAAAGGAGCCAGAAATGAGCAGTTATTAGTATGCAAGCTGAGCAAATAGTTATTTAATTGTTGGACAGTGAGGAGATGAGTTAGGCTGCTCGAGACAGCACTTACCTTAAGAGAGACCTCTGACAAACCAAAACGCCTCCCATTGGACCCGATGTGAAAATTGACATCCTTTTTTCACAACAGGCTCACTAGACAAGATTAGACTAATTGATCTGATACTGCAAAACTGGCACAAAAACAATAGGGTTAAAACTGCCGTAAATGGAAGAGGAGCTCTTTATCTCAATAAGCCGTCTACACACAGAGCTGAGAGGTATCGTCTCCTCTTGAGGCACACACAAGGGCCAGCATTAACACTAATCACATCTACAGGAGACTCTACCCCTGACTGCTCTGGGTAGGCTGGGTACAGAGACAAGAAGCTCCTTTTCTGCTTAAAGCGTTTTTCTCCTGTTGTTTTTGTGCCAATTTTGAAGTATCAGATCAATTAGTCTAATCCTGTTTTGTGTGATCATCATAAAAAGACGCTTATTTCCAGTCCAGCGTCACAATAAGACAGTGTCACTATGTGAGTTGTTTCAGTTACAACTGTTAGCATTTCTGAAAGGAGGATCTGATCTTTGACAATGTATTGCTTCTCAATGTGTTGACATTGAATTAAGCTCTTTCTTTCAGGGATGGGTGCATCCAAATTTTCAGATTGTTCAGATGTTCTAAAATTTCAGCATTAGGTAAATACTGACTTGCCATTTCTCTCTGCAAATATGCATCTACCCTTAAAAGTACCAGCTTGTGTCTTTGCATATAGAAGAAATCAGAGGTGCTCCTCCCACCCAGTTTTGCAACTTTACATTTGTACTCAAAGCTGAAATACTGACACGTGCAGTATACAATTCTGGATTTCCATGAGCAATGAAATAATTCCTTAGATAAGCTAACCACGAGCCTCTTTAAAATTGGAAACTGAAGCCTTCCTTCAGTTTGTTTGCAGCCTGACTGGAGCTGATTTGAGCCCGTGGCCAGGCTAACATGATGAAGCAGCATGGAGGGTGTTTTTACCTCCAGCTCCAGCAATTCCCCTATGCTGGAGCCTAAAAGAAGGAAGAAAAAGGATTCTTTTACACTAATAGTGTCAGGCATTTTTTCTTTTGGAGATTTGAATTTGACTTGCAGAGAACACAAAGCGGATAAAATACAACCAAAAAGACACCTGTAAGCTTTTAAGATGCTGAACTGAGATACTGCACCAACTTTCAATGCTGTGTGGATTGTATAAGAAATAAGAGAACAAATCCAGCTCTCAAGCTGATTTAAGGGAGAATGTGTTGTGACTTACATTTGCCAGCCTCTATATCAGTACTTACACTGCGTCAGGTGTGATTAATTCATGTTTCAAATAAGGAGGCAATTCTAAAGACTATTTGATGAAAAAGGAAAGTAACTAGTAAAATTAAACAGGAAACACATCTACATTAGCAGCAGGCTTTACAGGTTTTGGCCCCCCTTTGTTTGAAAGGGTGTCACAGTGTATTATTACGCACACAGATACCTGAGGCTAATGCAGATGCTGATGACTGTGCTGTATTAAAATCTCATACCTTGCAGCCTTCACATGTGATGACTCCATAGTGTATTCCAGAGGACTTATCTCCACAAATTTTGCATGGTATCACTTCAATTTGCGCTGGAAAAAAAAAAACCCAAAAAATAAGACATCTGTTTTGAGTATCTAATTCTATTTCATTTCTTTCTTCCTCAAATGAAGATTTTAAAAACTAGAGTTAGACAGTAGGTAATATATTCACCCCCTGACAATATAAAACTGCTTTGTACTGTATTATATGTTTCTGAATGCTCTGTTTAGAAGAATTTTAATTGCTTCACATTATGTAGTTTCTACTATTCCCCACAAAACTCTCTTCAACAGTTTAAGCTATCTCATGGTTAGCAAGTTTTTCCTCATATTCTTCTCTTTTGTTTTTACTTGTAAATTTCATCATCATTATTGCTAATGACAGTCATTAGGGATCCTAAATAATTATCTAGATTGTTCTTGTTTACACTTTTCAAATATTCATGATTTTACTCTTTATTTTGCTGAGGTAGAATTGCACGACATGTTTCGATGCATTTTTCACAACAGTAAAGATGATGAAGCTTTCACATCCTTCAAATTATGGCTTCAAGACAGACCAGTCCCACTAGCACAGATGCAGTTACATGACTGCTTAGCCTCTCCTTCTCTTCAAGCCATTTGTTTCAGCACAAACTTAGAGCTAAGCAGGGGCCACAAGGTAAGGGTAAGTATCCAGTGCCTGCACTTTGGGATTCTGTGACTAGTGAAGCGAATCAGAAAGCAATCAGAGATCCAGAGGCACACACTACTTGAAGATGTTTGAATAGGGGGGATATGTTTCACATCCTTTTACCAAAAAAATGGTCATTTAATTCACAGAAGGAAAATGTATTACACATCTCTCCCATATTTTTTTTCTTTTGCTAACATAGCTATTTGCTTCCCTCAGTTATTTTGAATTCTGCATGTGTTTTTCTTATCTACGCTGTAACAGCACAGCCTCTGATAAGTAGGGAATTATTCTAGGAAGATGTGTTGAGGAGAAGAAATGCAAAATCTACTTTGCCTCCTACTCATTTGCTTTCCTGTGTAGGATCCAAGCCTCTCTGTAATCCTCATCCTACTAGATGATGACCGTTACAGCTGATAGCGTCACTTTACTTCCTACCCAGGGCAGCAGTAGCACCAATTTTCTGCCACCCAGGTTACTCCTCACATCCTTGGGTAGTACAACTGAGAGCTTGTGTAGTCGGGTTACCCTGAGTACAAGGATTTTAACTCTTAGTATGCTAGCTGAACACCAGCAACCCCCACAAGGGGCTGGCAGACCGAGAAACAAGATTATATTTTAGACACTCATCCCCAAAAAAGCATTCCATTTCAAGTCTTTGGTCACTCAAAGGGGTCATAATTGCTAGAAAAAATTTACTTAAAAATAACTGCATATTGTAAGCTAAACAATAAGGACACTTGTACAGTGGATGCTGTGGCAATATAATGGCATGGTCTAGATTTTGCCCAGTTTAAACCTATAATTATCTTTTATCACTCCTACTAGAAGACAAGAGTCATCTTCCTACCACCGTGAGTCTGAAGGACCAAAACTCAGAGCAGTGTCCTGCAGAGGCGCCGTACATTCCCTTGGGAGGTGCTGTGCATCCTCCACTCCACAGCACTTACGTAGGCTGTGGATTTATGGTGAACTCTGTGAAACTCCAAAAGGTGAACATTGGCAGCCCCTGTTCTCTGGAAACTCAAGTAACTATTCCCCTTGAGCATCATACCCCAAAGAAGCTAGGGAAGAAAGAGATTCATGGATGGCTTGGAAAACATTAGCTTGCCACTACGAGCTCAGTTTCCTGAGATGTTATCACTGATCGAGCACATTTTTAAGCAAGGCTAACACTAGTTTAGGCAAGCAAACCAGCTTTTAAATTGCTCCCAACCCAAAATGATTAGGATGAATTTCAGCAGAATGGAATTTGTTTTTAATATATTTTGGATGGAGAAGACCCAGAGCCAAAATCTCAGATGCATTTGCATTTAAGAAAGTTCATATTCAGACCATTAGCCATCCCGGCGTGATACCGTCATAAAATTGAGAGAAAATCTATATAGAAAGATAGCTGCAGTTTCTTGGCAATTTTGCCTCTTCTGAAGGTTGATCTTGCAAAAAATTTCCCATGCATTATCCCCACTGAGGTTATTAAAACATTTAAACATGCACCTCTGGGTACCGATGTTTGAGAGGCTAGTTCAGCTAACTGCTCACAGATCACTGCTTGAGAGTCATGTGGAGAGAGCAAGGTTGGGCTCTGGGACAACATGCTGCTTTCTGTTGACGAGCCTCAAAGACAGATGTCAATGCAGGAACTACAATAGGAATATGAGGGGATCTTCAGGACAAGGAGAGATATAGGAGGAAAAAATAAATAAAAACAAGAAGAAAATATTTTTAATGTGATTTGCTCACGTACAGAGTCTGTAACTGAGACAGGAACAGAGACAAAGGAATTGATCCTGCAACACTCAGGCATTGAGCACAGTACTCGTCACTGTGAGCAATCAATAATCCCATGTGTGACTAGCAATTGTAAGTCCTACACTAATGGTAAACATTTGTGGTAAGGATACTAAATGTTAGGGCTCTGGGTTTCAAATTAATATGAAATAAATATGTTAGGCCTGCAACTCATCAGTTAATTCAAGCCCCTATTCAAAACTAAGCATTTTATAGATTAGCAAATACAGAGTCTCTAGCAAATTGCTACCACAGCTCTTTGGAAAACGCACAGAAAAGGAAGCAACTTTAGGACACAGAAGGCGTTTGAAGTAGTTTGGAAAAGCAGACTCTGCTACTATCTCCCAGGCATTTCTTTTTGTTCATAAGACAGCAGAACAATTTAAGGATTCGTAACAGTCAACTTGAGTCGTTAATTGTACAGGCCAGATGAAAAAGAAGCCACTGTATTCCCAGAAACATCTCGAATTACTGTAATTAACACCCAGTGTACCAGGTTTCTTTTGCAGATTTAATGATTGTCAGGGACTACTACACCTTTTTCACATTACATCTTTGTTCAGCCACCTAGGATTGTATGTTGTCTTTCCTTCTCCCTTCTCCTCTTCAACCAACAAACAGTTTTGGGAACTGCATATTCTACCTCTCTTTACAGCTATCATAAAATAAGCAGCTTACTTCTGAACTCCTTACAAGCACAAAATACACCCATTCAGTACGGTTTGCTGAATACCGATTTTAATAATGTGATTTAAAATAAAGGCTCCTGCCTCTTTTCTAGCAATAGCATAGGTCTTAACTGTCCGTTTGTCCATTTTTTCAACTAGTGCATTCAACTTCTGTCCTTAAGGAGTATCACTCCTTACACTCTGCAAAACCACCATCATCCTAATATCTAACAGAACAGCAATAATGTTGGGATACTTAGTGCATTGGGATTACTTGTTATCACCAGCTACAGTTCTTTTATCAGTGCCATGGCATTGTCCTATCTCTCTGCTGTATTCTTCCCTTATTTTATACTTAAGTTGCAAGTCCCTTGGGGCTGGTAATTGGCTCTAGGCTTATATGGCAGCCTGAAAATCAGAATACTGCAATGGAAATGAATTAACTGCACATGAATAATAATATTATTAATAATCCGTAGAAGCTGGGTTCACCACCTGGAAACTAATTCATTCTGTCAGGACAAAGGAAGAAGAGCGCAAAACTATTTAGGAAGCAGATACAAAACAATCTAAGATATTTGAAAAGAACCTTTGAAAAAAAGAAATATGTACTTAAAGTCATCTTCAAACCCAGCATTAGTTATTTTCTCCAATGCTCTTTCAAGAGGAATAAAAAGGTGTGCTGAACCTTTTTTTTCCCTAAATCTGGAAAGAATTTACTCACCAAGACAAAATTCATTATTCTAAAACAAGGCAGGCAATAGTCAATTTTCAAAAATTGCTATATTGATGATATTAGATATAAACCTGAAAGGAGATAAAAAGTTTAATTTGCTAAGTTCCTCTTGAAACAAGGATGAGTCAACAAGGCAGCTAACGTGTCAATCGTGTATTGGTGAGGACTGCCACTCAAAGCCGTATGTTTTCTGACAATAAAAAAGTGAAGTTCCCATTTACGTAATCCCAATTTAATATCTGAGGAACTTCATTCAGTAGAGACAGGACTATAATCCCCTAGACTTGTATCTTTGGTTCCAAGGGGAAAAAAGACTCGAATTTTCAATATTTAGCTCCTGATCAAAAGAGCAGAGGAAAGTATAATGGGCATGAAATTTGAAGGGAAAGTACTCTCTTTAATTTGTTGATCCAGAAGGGATTGTACTTGGAAACATTAACAACAATCAGAGAAACAACGGGGAAAAGAAGCAGCTCCTTCACCTTCCAAGAATTCCCATTACCCTTAAGCTGAAGTTCTTTGAAAGCTGCCAGTAGATTGGCCTTGTTCACTTTCATGTTTATATCCCTAAGTGATTTCAAATTAATCATACTCAAACATACTTAAACATACTTTTTTTTATCTAGTTACCAAGTATGCTATTTCATCCTGACCTCTGTGAGTTGCATAGTTTTTTTTTTCCCTGCACATTACCATCAGTAGAAGTTTCCAGTATAAGTTATGTCACCAATTAGATGTTTGTACCTCCTTTGCCACTGGACTAGGCATTCTTTGGCTGCACAGAAAAACTTCAGCTGCTTTGAATTTGTATTTAATAATCTGAAAACACACAACTGAGGATACAAGTTGGGTTTTCCAGCTTCTCTTATACCTCATGCAGTGAGAACTATGTCCTTAGCAATATCTAAGCAAGGTAATTAATGCTAGCTAATGCTAATTAGTGTGTCTGTAGATACACGTTTGCTGTCAGCCATCTCCTAAATGAGCTGTTAAAGTAAGCAAATATGATGAAACTCACACAGGAAAATACCTGCTACATAAAACTTTAGCATTTTTGCACAGTCATACATACAACGCTGGCTACAGGTCTGCACCCCGGACTTTGTTAGCTCTGTGAGTGCTAACAGGTTCATTCTGCCAAGGGCCCTCTGCACATGTGCAGCAATGCTGATGAATCCCAAAT